CACCTAATTAACTTGTACTGATCACTGAATAAGTTTCAGTGGTTCACTTTGTAAAGGTGTAACATTAACAATTTGTTTCCCATTTGAAATATTTGTCTACTTTGCCTGAGGAGTTTTCAAAGTCAGTGTTTCTAAACTTCTCCTCAATTGATTTTAACAGTCCATTTATCTCATGACCATAGATCAATTTGAATGGTCTAAACCCAGGAGATTAATTCCAGGAATCTCTGGTAGCAAATACTAAGGATTCTAATCCTTTGCCCCAATCCTATGAGCATTGGTGACAATACATTTCAATTATTGCTTTAAAAGTAGTATTTCTCCAAAGCTTCCTGCGTTTACAGGTGATAGACAATGGACTTCAACTGTTTTATATCAAAATGCTTTCTTTTGGCCTGAAACATTTTAGACCTAAAGTTTTAGACCTAATAACTTAGATCTAATTGTATTTTAATTGGTATCCATAACAAGTCAAGACATAACTGAGTTAATGTTTCTACTTTAGCTGTAATTTCTGGAAATTGCGTTGTTACATCCATAATTGTAAGGACATACTGGTAACATGCATTTTTCATAATGGTCCTAGACAATCTATTAACTTGGACTGAATAATTCTTCAGAAGCTGATATGGATATTAAAAGTGCCAGTTTGATTACATGTTTAGGCTTTCCTACTACTTGACATAAATAGTATGTGTTACAGAACTGCACTATGTCCTTATGAAGTCTTGACCAGGGAAAATGTCTGAGTTTTCAATATCCATACATGTCCTGTGCTACTTGTAATATCTAATGATTTCAGGCAGTGACATGATCTGATGAACAAATGGTCTTTCCTTATCTGCAGCTCTATGAGGGTGTATCCACTTCCTTATCAGAACTCCAATTCGAATATAATAATACTTCAGTTCTCCTTCAACCCAACTTTAAGTGTGATCTGACAGTGTTAACTTTATTAACTCTGGATCTGCTTTCTCAGCTTCAACTGGCGAAGGCATGATAAACACCTCTTTTGAATCATCCCATCTTTAAAGAAAATTTTGCCTATTCTGACATCTATTTGTGATATTACTCTTACCTCTGCTTATGGATTTTGTTTAGCTATTCCTTTCCTCACTACACATGTTGAAACAATACTGAGAACTGTCCTTTAACCTCACTCGGACTTTCTGTGATTATAGGCAAACTCCCACCAAATTATCTAGGAGCAACTCCGTGGGCTTTCTTTATAACTACAACTGTTTGAGACAAGTCAAACTTTGGTTGTACTTTGTACAACCGAACTATGATATACTCCCCCCTTATCCCGTTTATTCACATTTTAGCTTTCACTACATTAACTGGAGGGAAACTGTGTTGTTCTTCAGTGAAAGAAGTTCATTAGTTCCTGTGGCTTTTAATACAGTCATGGGTTAAAGTGCATCAGTTGAAAAAAAAGGAGCTATCTTTATTTTTGACAAAGGCCATTATTGACTAGAAACAAAAACAAAGTTGCTGGAAAAGCTCAGCAGTTCTGGCAGCATGTGAAGAAAAAAATCAGAGTTAACGTTGCGGGTCCGGTGACCCTTCCTCAGAACTGTATTTTTCTCTCTTTGTTCTTTCTGTATCACTTCTCTCTGAAATTGAAGTTCAAACTTTCACATCTCCACCCCCTGCTTTTTAAATTCCTTTTCTATCTCAAACTGCCTTAATTCTTTTTCACATTCAAACTGCTTCAACCGTAATTGAATCCTTGCTAAATTAAGTGATTCACCAACTGATGTGCCAAGCATCCTTTGCATTTTCACCAGTCCCAGATGCTTTGCCCATATTCCAACTAATCTTGCAGGCAATTTCACTGGGTAGGAATGGGCAGGAAAATATCGACAGGAATAAAATAAAATTCTGAAGATCAAATATCCAGATCTCAAGGGAGGGTTAAATTGTCTCTCACAGTTGTTTTTGGCTTTATCATAATGATAGGCTGTTGTTTATAAAGTGATGGTTGTTCTTCACTTCAGTAATTGATCTGGTGGACTAAGGTCTTTCCTTGTATTAGTTTTTTCTGAGTTTCTTGGTTTTTCCTTCTTTTCAGATCTTCTGGGAGAAAGGAGAGAAAAATGTTTTCCGTTTACCAGCTCTGGAGGTTTCTGGCTGCTGCACACTTACAGATCTGTAACAAACTGTAGTTGAACCAATCAAAGGATTACATAGATAGTAGGAACTGCAGATGCTGGAGAATCTGAGATAACAAGGTGTAGAGCTGGATGAACACAGCAGGCCAAGCAGCATCAGAGGAGCAGGAAGGCTGACGTTTCGGGCCTGGACCCTTCTTCAGAAATGGGGGAGGGGAAGGGGGTTCTGAAATAAATAGGGAGAGAGGAGGAGGCAGATAGAAGATGGATAGAGGAGAAGTTAGGTGGAGAGGAGACAGACAGGTCAAAGAGGCGGGGATGGAGGCAGTAAAGGTGAGTGTAGGTGGGGAGATAGGGAGGAGATAGGTCAGTCCTACCTTGGTAAACATGACAGTAATAAATCAAATCAAATCACTTGATTTTTCCAAGTCACAAAAATCTGTTGCTATTTCAACCATATACAAGTCCAACTTTGATTCCAGTTTATACTGCAGAAAGGAAAATTCTGTGGCTCCTTACACAGGCTCCAGAAGACAACTGTTGGCTATGCACACTGAAGTGCTTGATGCAATATTAAGGAACATGGAGAAGTATGGAATTGACTTTGCAGAGGTTGGAACCCATTCCTTCCAGCCTGGAAATGGAGGCAAAATGAAATAGAACATTTGCAATCCCACCCATGATAACACATCAGATGGCCTAAGTCTCAGCTTCCATTGCAGGGAGGCAGAAGCTAATATATTGGTAGAAGCCCAAACTAAAGCCATGTAAGATCAATTTGGCTGCGTCAACTCAGCCTGCTCTCATTCAACTTTGGTTTGCTGTCATGCAAGTTTACCAGTGTTCAAAGAACTAGCAGAATGCCACAACTGTCCAAACATCTCTCCTCCATCACGTTGTTCAAATTGCTGAGCTGTACCAGTCTGCAGAGTGGCTACATGGGGCACTAAACTGCTGACTTTTATCAGGATGACAGCATTCATTCTTCTATTACTGCCAAACCACTAGATGCCCTGCTGTTGCCTGCCAGTTAGTCAACTTGCTATGACCCATGCTGAACTGGTGCAATATGAAGTCAGGGCTTAGTGTCAATCACCTTGTGTTCATTCAGTATTGTGATAGAAAATAGTCTCATTCTTCATTCTGCCTTTGTAAAAACAAGACTCACATTTAGGTAACACAACTGCCAATATGTGCACAGAAAGTCCCTTCAAACAGCAATGTGATAATGACTAGATAATCTGTTTTTGCTTTGTTGGTTTAGGGATAACCATTGATTATGTAATTGGGAATAATGCATTGTTATTAAAAATTTCTATGAAATATATTTGGATAGCTTCATTTTCAGAAAGATATAAGACTTATATCAGAAATATGCATTTGTTTTTGAACTTGAAACAGATATCATGGCAGAGTGTAGTAAATAGTGGCTGGCAGCAATCAATTATTTGTTCTGAAGCAGGGTCATTGGACTCAAAACGTTAACTCTGCTTTCTTTCCACATGTGCTGCCAGACATGCTGAGATTTGCCAGAAATTTCATTTTTCATTTCAGGTCTTCAGTTCTTTGTTTTAATTTAATTTAATTTAATTTGCCGGATCTATTGTGTTTCTCCAGTACTTTCTGTGTTTATTAACTGGGACATCCGTGATATTGAATAGCAGACTAATAATTGTAAGGCCACTGATTATATTGCCACATCATTCTATGTTATGTATAAACGCATAACAGGAGCTCAATTGACTGGATGGCTAGTGCGTTGCTTAAGTTAATGCCAACTGCACAGGGTTTGATCCTTGTTTCAGATGTAATAGAGTAAAGGCCTTCTTCCCCTCCTAACTTGTATGAAATCATGGCAATTTGCAGTGGTTTGGTGAATAACTGGTAAAGACCCACCTTTGGTCAGAGATGTTTAAATGAAGTGCAGATTATTTCAGAACACAATTTTTTCAAATTTTATATTGTTGAGATAATGTTACTGACTTAAATAAAGGTAATGTTATAAATTACATAAATATGTTATAAATGTATATAAATATGTACAGAACTCATCATTCATTAGTTCAAATAAATTTATAAACAAACCTTAAAAATATAATGATATTAAGATTTGTCTGTATTTACATTCTATATTAGTAAATGCAGTTATTACAGTATATAGCAAGCCTGAATATGTGGCAAATAGTTGTCTTAAAAGATTAAAATCTACAGGAACATTAGGAACTGTCAAAATATTTTCTGAAATTGGGCAATTGAATACTTCTTACAAGCTGCCTTTCTGAGTTTGTGATTGATTTAGAATCAGTTACAGCAAAGAAGTCTATTCACCCTGTCATAGCTGTGCTAGCTCTTTGCTAAAGTATTTGATACAAATTTTACAATTATCTTTCATAGATATTGCATATAAAGTACAATAATCTCCTCTTCATCTATACCGGAGGTGACTCATTTCTTACACTGGTAATTTTTTGCACTTGAGTAACTCTCCCTCATCTCTCTGTTAGCGAGTTTAATATTTCAGACGAATTTTATATCACTAAGCTACCTTTATCCGAAAGAAACCCAATTCAAAGCAGGGGAGTAAAAAGCTAATTGTCAGGAAACTGAGGAGAATAGTTTTGAGGCTTTGCTAGGTGTCAGAAACTTATCACTAAAACAATGGTGGCCAATATCATAAATTGTGAATGCACCACCAGCTTCCTGATGGCAGCAAGGATACATTGTACTATATCAGGGACAAATAGGGACAAGTAATAAATGTTGTCCAGCCAGCAACGCCCACGATTGAATAAAAAAGAACAAAAACCTTGCTGCTGTATAAACTTTGCGCACAGTGATGATACGGGAGGAGCATGCGCAGTGAGCGCCATTCGGCACTTTGCAGATTATAAGAGACAGAGCGTAAGCAAGGAGACGACGGTTTGGCTTCAATTTAAAAATCAAATTAACGGCTTTATCATCAAACATGATGAACGGGGCCGTGACTTTAACTTCAACGGAGGTGAGTGAGTTTAAATGAAAGAGAAACACAGTGCGACATTTCTCGGTCCCCTTTATATTTTAGATTTTTGTTTACATACATAATATAGTTCTAAAGTTTGACATCAGTGTCTTTGCCGCAGGGAGAGAGTTTACCTCAGGAGACAGGCTCCTCATCAAGTGGTGAGTAGATAAATATTTCTCTCGGTGAAGCTGGTGCCGCCAGTTTTTTTTTTGAGGGGTAGGGGGCGAAGGAGGTCGCTACAGTCTCACCCCGGCCTTTACCTTCATGTTTGCACCTCGTTCTCCTTCCCCACCGCCCCAGTGACCTTTCGCCAAAACCGACAACCTGGGGCGCGCGCCCTGACCCTCTTCACCTGTGCACGCGCTAACTGCCCCACACCCTCCCCCGGGAGCTTTAGTCCATCCGACTTCTGTGCTCCTTACCCTTTCGCTACCCCCTCACTTTTTCCTTTCTACCACCACCCCCCCCCCCTTGCTTCCTCCCTCCAAAACGGTGAAATTTCTTAGCCCACCCCTCTCTTCCCCCTGCCCAGAATCATAACTGCCGAAAGGAGACCATTCGGTCCATCCAGTGCAAATTGCATTTCTGTTAACAATTCCAGTTTAATTCTCTTTTCTCTTCACTCCCATGAATTTCCTTTGGAAGTAATTCATTGTCACTGCTTCCACCAATTTCCTAGATAGTAAATTCTGTGATGTTGCCACTTGTTGTGTAAATTATTGTTTTTCATATTTCCACTATATCTTGTGCAAAATTTAAATCTGTATACTAGTTATTAATAGGAACCACTTTCCTTTGACTATCTTATTGCACTAAACCAGTCATAAGCTTGTATGCCTCTATCAAATATTCTTTCGCTCCAACAACCTCTGTTATCTCCAATGAAATAAAAGCAATGTACTGTTAATACAGGAGATCTGAAATAGAAATGAAAAGTTCTGGGAAACTCGGGTCTGTCAAATCTGTGGCAAGAGAAACAAGAGTTAATGTTTTGAGTCCAGTATGACTCTTATCTGGGACTAGACTTGACATGTTAACTGTTTCTCTCTCCATAGATATCATCAGACCTGTACTGTTTGTATTGCAATTCCTCTAACCCTATCTTGTAAAATTTCACATCCTCGTAGCAGTCTTGCATATCCCCACTGCACTCTCTTCAAGTGCCTCCACACCATTCTTGAAGTGTTATTAGAACAGGATGCTACACTGTAGTTGTGGCTTCACCAAAGCTTTATATTTTAAAAAAATTAAACATTCCTTAATTTTTCATGCAGTGCAGATTGAGGTTTTTCTTACTGTGTTGTGGCACTTTTTCTGAAGAAATCTTTTTACTACGAAGAATGCTCCATGATATGATGTTGTTGAGTTTTCCAGCAGAGGCAAAGCGTAAAATTGGAAATATCCATCTCGATCATAATATAACTTTGTAGGTAAAATAAATTTAGGTAAGTATGGATACTTCTATACTATGGTTATCCATAGGATCAAATTGAAATGGAATACAGTATTGTGATCACCTATCTTTTTCAATACATGATGTGTTCTTTCTTTCTACAACATTACATTGATCAAGATTAATAATGACATAAGCTATTGTCCCTTCCAGTTATGGTTTAGAGATCGAGCACTGTTGCAAAAAGATGTAATGTTGAGACTGCTGTAACACTAGTGTACAGAACAGTATTGGGTCCCTTCATTTCTGATATGGTGAAAAATAGTTGCATGTATGGTCTTCAAGAAATTGAATTAACACCCTTTCATCAAAAAAGAACAAATTGTATTTTGCACCTTTAGCACGAAAGGAACGTAAGGTTAAGTTTTTTTTTTTTTTTTGGTGACTTTCATTCACTGCCTAGAAACCATCTTTAAAAATGGTTGACTTTACCAAATCCCAGGATTTTCATATTGTTTGCAACATTTCTATTTAAATTATTTTCTTTCCTGAGGTTTTGTTGCAAAAGTTTATTGCAGGTGAGTTTATAATTAGAAAGAAACCAGAAGCCAAAGGGGAATATATAGTATCATTTTCAACTAGTTTCATTCAGATTGGTCAAGTACAGATCTCCAAACCTTTTCATATATCATGAAACTTAACAGCAATTGTCTCATTTTAGTAATAAAAACAGAAGTTGCTGGAAAGCTGAGCAGGTCTGGCAGCATCTATGAAGAAAAAAAAATCAGAATTACCGTTTTGGGTCCTTCCTTTGGGTCACTAGACCCAAAACCTTAACTCTGATTTTTTCTCTTTACACGTGCTGCCTGACCTGCTCAGCTTTTCCAGCAACTTCTGTTTTTGTTCCTGATTTACAGCATCCACAGTTCTTTTCAGTTTTTATTTTGTCTCATTTTAGTGTTCATTTTGGGTAATGTTCAGTATTTTCTCAAAATATTTCACTTGTTTGTCCTTATTGAGATCTATAATCTGGCTTATCTCGGCGATCATAATTTATTACTATATTTAATTTTTAATATTTTTAAAAATTCTTTTAATTTTTTTTCTGGCTTAACAGAGACCTACAAATCACCATTTTAGCACGAATTCAGTGTAAGTACCTCAGGCAGGCAAACCTATTTGAATTGGATTGCAGATGAAACAATTTAGATAGCTCAGCTTGCCTGAAATTAGTGAGGAGATGCAGGGGAATACATATGCACTGGTAATTTTCTACCACGGTTTAAAGTGTGTAAATAAATATCTGCTGAGGATAGATCACGTTGAGTTAAGATGGTCAAGACTGCCAACACTCATCATCTAGCTGTGAAGAATGGTTGTTCGGATGATATATTGAAGCATGGTTGGTACCCGTGGAACTGTATCTCTGAAAATATTGCCAACCTCAGCAAACAGTCGAAGAACATCAGAAAAAAAATAGTGCTGCAGGCCTTTGTATAATCTCATGTTAGCAATGATGATCTATTACTGTATATATCTTTAATGAATGTTAAATGGGAAAACTTTGAAGGCAAGTACCTGTAATGAATAAATTCTACATTCTAACTTAATCTATTTGTGTTTGTAGTATGGTCTCACTAAATCAAAGTTTATTCTACCTTAGCTTGATACATAAAGTTCATATTTCCTCCAGCTTGTACTTCTGAGGAAGACACCTATAGCCACTGACCATAATAAATGCTGGCCAGCCAGCAATAAAATTGATCAGCCATGAATAAAATGAATAAATGAATAAAACAAATTCATCATTTGGCCAAGGTCATATTGGCTGAATGTTTTTCGATGTAACGAGTTTAATGTTGTGTTATGTTATCTGTAATTGAGAGCAAGAATACGTGACATTGGAAGCTCTAGATAGCCGCCAAGGTGAGCTGACTAGCTTTTCTTTTTCTTGATTTTCTTAAATGCCTGTAGTACTACACTGTTGTGTTGTATTCACATAACCTGCAAATGTACGATCATGTTCTTTTACAAAAATGCATTTCATATTCACGGGGTTTATAGGTTAGTAAATCACTTTGGAGAAAACTTCTCAAACGTATTGCCTCATAAATCTTGTGTGCTAACTGACATTGTACTCGCATACCACTTTTAAGATCAGCAATGAATACAATCAACTGCAAGATCCATAAGTTGATCTTAAATGTTGTTTGTCTAATTATGCTTGCTAATATTGGATGTTTTATGCATTTCTATGAACTATCTGATCTAACCTATAATCTTGTCCTCCTACTACGGAACTATAAAAAGTCTTGAGGGACTGTAAAAATATTTTCTGAAGTTTAGCTATTGAATATTTGAGCTCAAAATTTATATTCTCAAAATTAAAGATCTAATGCATAATACAACTGCCTTTCACACCCCACGAGTGAATTTATAAAAAAGGAGAAAAATACTAGTTTTCCACTATGAAGCCTTCCTTCACTGTCTGAGGTGATGGCAGCCTTCTATTTGACAATGCTTTACACCATAATAATCAACTGTTAAACATCACGTTGTGTGGCTGAAGAGCCCTGCTCTGGCTTGTCTGTCTTTGCCTGATTGTGGAGGTAATGAACTGGTGCTCAGTTCACCTGGAGAGGTCTTTGGATTAGAAATCTGTTATCCGAACATGGAGAATCCAGTGCATACATCATTGGCCTAGTGGCTTAGTATTGAGTGTCTACTGATGTAATTAGCATGTTCC